GTTTCTCTGATGTTATCTTCCCATTTTGTTCTTGGTCTACCTCTTGCTCTTCGCTCTTTTTCTCTTTTCGTATATACCTTGTATGATATAGCATACGATGGCTTTATGTCCAAGTGGGCAAACCATTCAATTTGCTGCTATCTTTGTATGTAATTTAGAATTGGTTCTGTGACGACTTTATCTCGTATGACCTCATTCCTGATTTTATCTCTTCTGGTCACTTCTAAGACACCTAATTTTCATGGTTACTAATTTTTGTTATGTTTTGTTTTGAGTGACCACATCTGGCACTGGTAGTATAGGGTTTAAATGAATATGCTTTGTATGAGATGTTTTTTTGAGCTGATTGGGATTGCCTTATGCTGTAAGATGTGGGGGGGGGGGGGGAGGGGGAAGGGAGATGGGGGGGTTGCTGTCCCAAAACTTGGCCTGCTTTACTGCATCGGATGTCAATTTCTTCATCAAGTTTTACCATCTTCAGTAAATGTTGTTCCAAGATATTTAAACTCAGATGCCTGTTTAATATATGTTATGTTCTAATGCTGCATTTAAATTCTGCTTCTTTCTTCCTACTGAAATCACTTCTGTCTTTTCAATGTTATTTCTCATATTATTTTATTTACATTCGTCATTTGTGGATGTGAGGATGTTGTAAATTCATTGTTGTGTCTGCAATCAAGGCCTGGTTCACAGCAATGAGTAATTCTTGATAATACTATTTTTTTTCGTTCCTGGGCTTGGCAATATAGGTGATAAACAGAAGTGGCGTTAAGACACATCCCTGTCTTAATCCAAATGTTACTTTGAATGCTTTGGCTGTTCCCTGGTTTATTCTAACTACACTTCTATAATCTCCATATAAGCTTTTGCAAACGAATGAAAGTAAACATTCTGAGACCACGAAGCTTTCCAGTGGTTGGCTCCAGAAAGAGACTTCGGGCGTGCCGTGACGAGAGCGACGTTTTGTAAGGGACTTGCTGATTGATGATGATGATTTAAGTTCAGTTCTATCTATCTATCTATCTATCTATCTATCTATCTATCTATCTATCTATCTATCTATCTATCTATCTATCTATCTATCTATCTATCTATCTATCTATCTATCTATCTATCTATCTATCTATCTATCTATCTATCTATCTATCTATCTATCTATCTATCTATCTATCTATCTATCTATCTATCTATCTATCTATCTATCTATCTGTCTGTCTGTCTGTCTGTCTGTCTGTCTGTCTGTCGGTCGGTCCAAACGTCCGTCTGTCCATCCAGCTATCTATCTGTCTGCCTGCCTGTCTGTCTGTTTGTCTGTCTGCCTGTCTGTCTGTTTGCCTGTTTGTCTTTCTATCTATCTATAAGTTTTCTTAATTGTTTTTCATCCATCTCTTTTTATCAGTATGTGGGTTTGTATCTGCCCTGGACAGAAACCCCACAACATAGTCATACTTAAACGCGATAGATCAAACAACGATAACAGGTGGTTTTGATAGATTAGACAGAGCGCTAGTACATTACAGGAGATAATAGGAAAACAAGAAAATAAAATCGTTTGTAATACATAGACATAAAATATGGAACACCACAGATTTAAAAAAAAAAACAGGTATAGCACAATGTCATACTTAAAACAAACAATACATTTCTGCTTGATCATATAAAACAATAAATAAATAGATTACAAAACAATCACAATACATTGTGTGGTTCAAGGTGATTTCAAATGAATACGATTCCACTGACAACTATTCCACATTATGAAAAAATGTTTTTGCGGGACTCAGTCCAGAAAGACCAGTCTCTTGTTGTCCAAACGTTTTAACTACTTTGTTGTAAAATAACACCGTCCAATACGGGGCACAATTTTTCGTTATTTTAAAGCTCCACTCTGGCTGTTGCCTGGTGCCCTAATATACCACAATCTATGGGTTCAACGGGGTTTCTTGGACCTGTCTCCGGGTGATCTTCATCCCAATGGTGGCACTTGGTGTCACTGGGTGTTTATAGCTGGGTGTGATGTCCTGCTGAGGTTAAATGGTAATCTAACTACTTTGCTACAGGAGTAACTAAAGTGCATCATGGTAGCGGAAATACGTCTGTTATTTGATCAGCTTGTTTATCTGTCTGTTGTTTGATCAGCTTGCTATTTAATCAGTTTGTTGTTTTTTCCTTCGATAAGGATTTATCGACACATTCAGTTGTGTGCGTTTTTGCTGTTCTCTCCGTAGAGTTTTCTTCTCATAGTTTGAACTGTGTTTAGCTACTTCATCACACAGCACAGATCGCTTAGGGCGATCTTGAATGTAGCGAGTTTCTGTTGTTAAGAACAATGTATTTATCCCCGGAAATTTGTATTGCTTGAATTGAATTCTCTTGATAAGAGAAATTTTAGATATTAGGTCTGCATTGTATCAGTTTGTCTGCAGAAACTCTACTTACGTTATCACCTTTGTTTGCTGCTGTTTCACAATGACGGCGTTAACGCTTATGTTTTCACGTGCCGCTAAGCTCTCAGGCGGGAGACTCTGGTTCGATCCTCGATAAAGAAAATATATTTTTTCAATTGAAAAAACAATCGTAACCTACATACTTTGTGGCGACGACAATAGCCATACAGCCCTAAATAATCAGGCTCACGCTCCCCTAGTCCTAACCCTGTCATAAAAGTGGTGGGCACAGTCAGTAAAGACCGTTATAATGTTCCCCCTTTTCTGCCGTGGAATTTTTATGGGCCTGTCATCTCTACTCTTCTCTAATACTGTTGTTGAGGGGACCGCGTTAGCTCAGTCGATAAGAGGCTCGCTTTCAAATCCAGCTGCGACTCGCTGCAGCCCACGGCCGGTGTTCGAAACCGGGCGGTTTCCGTGATTCACCCAGCCTCTAGGAAATGGGTACCAGAGTTGACACTCTGGGGTAAATGGAGGAACGTCGCTGTAGCTACAGAGTTACGTGTGGACAGCGACACAGGCGGAGAATTCTTATCAGCTGTCCGTACTGGTGACAGAGCGCTTATGGTTTATAGGCCTAACCGTGTGCAATGACGCTGGTTCACATATCCCGACTTACCTTTACCTTTTGCTATTGGTTACTTTGTATAGCTTGATGTGTTGTTCAACATTCTACAACCGACTGATGTCGAAGGAGAGACACACATAAATATTTTTCTTGTTGGTGAGTATCGAACTCTGTATTGTTCACTTGTGCAATGATAGGCCTTTTGTCTTCTCTCTTCCCCACCCCCTTCAAGAAAGAACAGATGTCAACCGGCTTACGGCAAGCTATCCTAAATTGTGCTACCTCCTTTCGTGGTTTCATCCACGCCTTCTCCATCCTACAGGATGATTTTTGGTTTCGAATGAAACCAAAATATTGATCTAATATGTCAGTCCTTCCGACCACCTGTGGAGCTTTTCACAATTCGCACATAGCTCTAACATTTCAGTAGCCAAATGTGGATTTTCCTAGGTAAAGGTAAAGGTAAAGTAGGGAGATGTGAACCAGCGTCACTGCACACGGTTATAAACCATAAGTGCTCAGTACGGACAGATGATAAGAATTATCCGCCTGTGTCGCCGTCCGCACGTAACTCTGTAGCTACAGCGACGTTCCTCCATTTATCCCAGAGTTTCAGCTCTGGTACCCATTTCCTAGAGGCTAGGTGAACCCCGGGAACCGCCCGGTTTCGAACACCGACCGTTGCTGCAGCGAGTCGCAGCTGGATTTGAAAGCGAGCCTCCTATCGACTGCGCTAACGCGGCTCCCGCTTTGTGAACTGAGGAAATGCAGCTACACTTCCAAAAGAGCCTTCTGCCATCTAGGTTGACTCGGATGTTCTTTCCTTGCAATTTTCTACTGGATGGTTTAACCATTCCTTCGCCAACCCGTCTTTGTTAACTTTGACGACATTCTTGGTAAGTAAGATATAATCTCATCGGCCTGCTCTGGATTAAATCTCCTTATGTAATACGTAGTCTGATTACGTAAGATTTTCAAATATCACTGCTTGACGAGTGCTACTGTCCTTTGCTTCCCAAAACTCTTTCAGCATAGAGCAATTCCCTGTGCATTTTGTTATTACTCTTTTTACACAGATATTTTTAACTTGACTACATTCATGAACTGTCTTTTTCACCAAGTTAAACGAAAGGTAACGACCATTTCTTTCTGCCTACAAAGTTCTGGTTTCAACCGGCTGAGTTGAATTTGTGTTTCAGTTTCCAGGATATAGCTATTTGCTTCATTTTAATCAATTGTTACGAGATACAGCGAAATATACTAGGCAATAAATTGTGCAGTCTATTGTTTGTGTCTTCTTTGTTCAAATTCACAACGGGGAAACATTGATTGTCTACTTTTTGTTTTCACCAGACCTGCATGATCCTGAGAATAAGAAATTAAAAAGTCGCTAACTATCAGGGACCTCTCAAGTGATACCTGACACTCAGAACGTAGCATGCCTTTCTTTACCTGTCTCTCAATGAACCTATTACAATCACAAATAGGGTTCCGGGGATATAAACCTAATTCTTGCCCAGAAGCGTGTCGTAAGTCGACTAACTGGGAGCTTCCTTCGAAGACGGAGTACATCTGCTTGAGAGGCAAGGAACCAACAGTCGGCATGCAAATGAGTCAGACCTGTGAAACGGATGTATACTCAACACTCAGGTTATATAACAGGACTAGAGTCCAGAACTGGGTGAACAGCCAGAACTTTCCGCCGGAGCTTACAGCCGGTGAACGCAAAGAAGAAGAGGAATCACATATCATATCTGGTTTTCAAGCCAGTGGAAAGCTGCTTGACTGCCTCCACCTCCATTCTCCAATAGATTTTGTGGTATCATATTCTAGATGTAATGTTGCACTCAGCGACATCCACACCCATTTTGCGATCAACCCCCATACACTTCTTCTGCCTCATAAAAAACATACCTAACACAGGGTCAACCCTACAGATCATCAAAATACCAAATAGGGAACTAATAGAGGTCGAAAAGCAGAAATCAAGGTTTAGGCTGAACACACTGTCTGGTTCTAACTGGCGTTGGACTACTCCGTGGCACCATTCCCTTGCGCTTAAAAGTGTGCACCATCAAGGCTTTGAGATGCGACTGGAACTGTTTGCTGGTGGTGGCGTAGATAAATATATTGCATGCATGATGAGAAATGCCCAGCTCTTCTATAATCTTCCGCGCTGTAAAATAATTCAGGTAATTCTGCCATGTTACGTCCCGTTTCATAGCATCCAGGCTCATGTTGTCTCCAAACTGAACACTTGACTGCATTGTGAACATAATAGTCACGGGAAGTTTGCTGAATATCAGATAAAAGGAAATCCACATAAGTGTAGCAGTAGTTGAAGTACACCTAGGCCCTGCATGTCTGTATAGCTTGTCGCTTGTTACGTACAGTTTGCCCACAGTTCTTATCTGTTTAAGAACGCACAAGTTCAGCAGAAACACCACGATGGGAACTGCGCCAAACATCACCAAATCAGAAGTCCAGTTCCAGACGACGTAGATACTGTTAAAAGATCTCCTGACAGCGCACTCACCGATATCTGGACTCACATTCCAGAAAAATGCTTGTGGCATGGCCAGAACGGCAGATATACACAATATGGCGGAGATGATTTTTGACCACCTTGATCTTTTAGAGAACTTCTCGCAAGAGAAAGGTCGGCAGACAGAAATGAAGCGTTCCACTGTAAATGCGAAGACCAGCAACACGGATATGTATTGACACATGATCTGCAGGACGTTCCATATCTGACACCAGCCCTGAAAGGAAATATGGGGAACAGATAATAGTACACGAACGTTAATGCATATTTTCATATACACACTATTCAACATTTGGGTTCTGGGGCCCCTTTGATTTGAAGAGAACAACAGAATATACGAATTATGACGTTTGCACTGTGATAATGGAAACTGTGGCTTAGCTATTAGTGAGCACGTTTCACAATTCCTCATGTACCATGGTCCGATTTCCACTTTCACAAAAGGACCATTCTCATGTCTTTTGGACAGTGTGACGAAAGTCGCTCTGCTGGCCTCATCTCATGATTTCTGAAGACGGTACTGGATATAATACTCCCAGCTGCTAACCTCCAATGTTGTGACAGCACTCAAACTTATTTGTAATATTATGTAATTAAGAAAGATTTAAATGTCATGCTACAATTATACATAATTTGACTGCATGCACCGATAGACCAATATATATATATATATGAATGAATGTGCATCGCCTGTAGGCTGTCAGTCAAGACATCATGTTTTCGCAAGCCTACGGAGGTTGACTTTTAAAATTAACATAGACTTCCAAGTGGACTCAGCCAAAATATATACCAGGAAATGGTATTGGAAGTAAAAGGCGACAGTGTGATACTGAGCACAGCAAAAAATCAAATGCGAAAACACACACATACATCAGGCTAACAAGAGCAGAAAACAAAAAATGGTTCTAACTATTTCCTGCTAGCTATAATGTATCTTTCAGTTATCTACTATTTTGTGTAGTTTTGTCCCCCATCAGCGTAGATGGAACAATCCCAGAGAAACGATGTATATGCTTTACAACGAATTCATCCGCTCCCCCCCCCTTTTTTTTCCCATTTTTGACTGCAATTATCTAGACCTAGGCGCTTGATTCAAGACCAAAAGGCTTCGTTTCTTATCCACATCGATGCGTATTTGTATCAAATTACCTTGTGTGCTAGGTCGACCCAGCCTTAAATGGGTACAAGGAAATATCCTGGTAAGTGAAGGGGCAGTGACGTGAAATTGGTCCTTTGGTTATTTGCTGCAATCACATTTATCTTTTTTTTAAAGTTATATATACATGTGTGTGTGTGTGTGCGTGCGTGCGCGCGTGTGTGTGTATTTTTTTTTTTTTTTATTTTTTTTTTACGTATCCAGAAACCATGAGTTGTAAACCCTTTGGCTCGGTACTATGGATATCGCAACCCTTCGGCATTGATTCCATTATAGGTACCGTTAATCTGGGAGAAATGTGGCTTTTCTGCCTACCCCCGGGAGTGAACCCGGACCACAAGGAGTTCGTCACCCGGCCGCCGCGAAAGTCAGGTTTAACCAACTTCGCTAGAGAGCCGGGCGTGTGTGTGTATAAGAGTGACCACATCAAACTTGAAATTTCGCTCTGTTCTTTTCCCGCCTTCTTCTTTGAGGAATGCGTAGACCTAATCTATATATATATATAAATCAATGTTTGTGTGTTTGTTTGCCCCCTATAGACTCGGAAACTACTGAACCGATTTAGCTTAAATTTTCAGGATATGTTTGTTTTGATACCGGATGTTAAACCATCATGGTTTTAAATTCAACCTGTCACTGTTAGAGATAGGTGACCACAATTGAAGCAAAAATATTCGAAACTAATATTTAAATTGTTAGTAACATCTAATTATAGCCACGTTAGTAATTGCGCATGCGCCGCCGTAGTCAGAACGCAAGTCTTACGCTATTCGCCGGCGAGTTACGTGCAGCCAACGCCTTCTCTAATAACATAGAGTTGGTCGTGGTACAGCAAACAAGACTATCTCCATATTTGTGTAGGCAGTCATTGCCACAATAACCATATTAAACACGATTTCTGTTTTCTGTTTTTTTTTTCCAAACAACCTTTGATGGGAAGGGGGGATGGGGGGCATCAAGGACTATCTCGACGTCGGCGCAGACATTGACTGCGACATTGACTTCATTAACCGTGGTAGACACGTGCGATTTCTATTGTTGTGCCGTTTCATTAATATATCTGGAGTATCTGTCTACGAGAAAACAATTGCCTGCGGTTTTGAGTTGTGTTATAATCAGACACAGTAGTAGTAGGGTCACACATCTCAATAGTTTACTTCTCTTTTCGTTGCTTCTATGAAGTGGCTGCTTGGTCGAATGGTTACAACACTGGGTTCCTGTGCGGGAGACCAGGGTTCGAATCCTCAGTAGTAAATCTTTTTTTACCCCGGACTAAAATATTATCCTTATTATCTGCTCTGTCGTGGCGACAGCACTAGCCATGTTGCCCTTAATACTAAAAATAAAAAAAAAATAAAAAGACAAGTAAATGGGTAAACTATTTGATAATTAAATTTGACCATTTCGCATACTTATGATTGCATTTTTAAACTTTCCGATTGCATGGTTACGCTGACATTTCATAGCTTTCCATTTATTTTCATTTAGATTTAGTAATTTCATCTGCGTTGGAATTTCAAGCTGTGCTGTTTACCATAGCGTTCATTTCCTAATTATGTTTTTTTTTTTTTTTTTTAATTTGCTTTTTAAGTGTTTTTTTTTTCCTTTCAACTACTTCAATGAGGGAAAGAGTTGTCGGTGAATTTTTTTTTTTTTTTTGGGGGGGGGGGGGGGGGGGGGGGGGGGGGGGGGGGGGGGGCAAACTGTTAACTGAGAGAGCTTTAAGTCACAGTAACTGCTTTACCCACTAAAAGTAGCAGCAGCAGTAATAGTTGTGGTTGGGCTGTTACACCGTAGTGCTCTCATGTGAAGACCGCCGGTAAGGTTATGGCATTCTTCTGTCGGGAAGCGAAATTATACATCCTAACCTGACCAGTCTGTGGCGACAGCACTAGCCATGCGGAACCAAATCTTCTGGCTCACGACTCTCTGTCTACTCCGATGGTAACACAGATAGCAGTGACATTATTTTAGCTACTGTGGTGGTGGTCGTGGTAGTAGTTGTACTGGTACTTGAAGGATGATGTGGTAAATATTACACTAGCTCCATTCACTACCTATTACAATTCCTGCTCCCCATTTTAGCCCGGATGGACAGGGATGTCAATGGCAGTTACAGCAACAACAACAATATCGCCAGGTAATGATTTACAAATCCTTCGAAGAGGGAGAGAGCAGTAGTCGGTGGAAGAGGGGAGGGTAAGGGGGTAATGACTTAAATTTAAGAGAACTTAAAGAGCTTTACACGTGATTTTCAAGTTCTCATTGCCTAATTTGTTTATATTTTACTAATGCTACCTCCGCTTTTCTATTTTTTACGACTTACTTTGTTATTTACAAGTACAATTGTAGCTTTACTTCCATCTCCTATAAAAATACAAACAGCTTTAGCATGTGATAACCAAATAACCATTTTTGTTACTGTGCTAATGACACCATTTAAACGACCAATAATATAAAGACACAATTATAAGGTGCGTGTTCTAAAGTTGGAAAACCAGACTATCTCTATATCTGTGCAGAAAATGATTGCGACATTAACTATATCAGACACGAGCGATTTCCATTGTCTTTCTTTTCCAAAAACCTTTGATGAGGGAGAGAGTAGTAGGTGGATTTAGTTGTGGTGGTGAGGGGATGGGGGGGGGGGGCGGGGATCAAAGACTATCTCTTATCTGAGCAGACAATGATTGTATTAGACACGTGCGATTTCTATTTTCTTTCATTTCCATTTAGCCAAACTATGCCACAGCAACGCGTGGCCGGGTACGGCTAGTAGTGAAATAAAATTAAGGACCCTTTTCCACTCCCTTAGGCGCATTGGGAGTATAGCGCTAGACCTGGGACTTGTTTGCATTACGTCCGCGCCTTTACCTTCTATGATTTTACCTGGTACACTTTTCAGACTGGCTCGACATAAAAGCCGAGGTTATATATATATTTTTTAATTCGACTCTATAAGGATTTAAAGGCACTACCCTCGGGCACTGGGCTAGCCACTTTAGCACGGCGGCTTCCTCTTGTTATTTATAGTCGTCATCATCATCATCAAGTGTTCTGTAATCTTTAGCAGCATATATCGGTTATTTTATTGACACATGGCAGATCATTCCAGAGGCCACAACATGTTCCAGTTTCCTTCATCTCATAACATGACCAAAGATATGTGTCTTTTTCATGTCTGTGATAAGTCTAGTTAGTTATATACTCTTACATTACTCGAGCTGACACTTGCGTACAAATAACTTCCTCCTGTCAGATTGTAACCAGGAGTAATTTGTTTCAGGCAGTCGGCATCACGGTCTAATTTTGGCCATTACCAGTTGTCGTAGTTCCAGTCACTTCTCACTGCAGCATATTGTTTACATTATAAAACTTCCCTGCGTTTATTAACTGCTATCCATTTCCTTAGTTTAGTAACCAACACACACGCACACAGATACATAAACATTTGGCTAACGAAATTATATTGACCCCATTCCCCCCCCCCCTTTTTTTTTCACCTCAAAACACACTTGGCATGAAATCATACGATCGGAGTTAGGCGTATCTATTCACTCGCTTCAGTATTGTCTCTTGTATTACAAATCATGATACTGCAAAGATAGGTAAACAGTTCCTTAAACAATACATCTTTTCCTACTTATTCCAATTTGGAAAATTGCAGTTCGCAGTTGTTTAGCTTTGATTACAAAATTCAGTAGTTTTCAAATAGTATTCTCAGATTTTAGGGAACAAATGATATTAATAACAATATGTCAGAAAACGTAATGCCACTCGAATCGAAATGATTTTCTAGGTTCCACATTTAAAGAGGTAACGGTGTGTAGCGATTTTATTGAAACAACCTCATGTTTATGATCATAATCCCAAAACACCGTCGTGTCGTTGGGTCATCAGTTGGCGTTGATTGTTTAATCAATTCCATCCACATATTTATGTTACATGGAATAGACTTGATTTTTCATATTTAATTAAGGCCTGTCCATTCAGCCAAAATTTGGATCCTGGTCTTTCTTGGCTTGCCTCTTTTCCTCAACACCTTTACAGGAACCATTTAGCATCGTTTTGAGAGAATCATCATCATCAGGTGCCTTGCCGACTGGCGTGGGCGATCATGCTTTTCCATAATCGATCTCCTGCAGCATGTATCAGTTCGTGTGCCGACACACCTCCATGCCATGCAACAAAACTGTTAAGAATCTTCTCTCGTTGTCTTCCTCTATCCCTTCTTCCACAGATCTTTCCATTGGTCACAACATGTTCTATTTTTCCCTCTTCTCATAACATGGTCGAAAATTGATGACTTGTCTCCTTCTGATGTCTGTGATAAGTTATCTTCGGGCTCCCGCCTCTTTCAAAACCTCTTGGTTGCTCTTTTTGGCTGTCCAAGGAATTCTAAGCATTGTTTTGTAAAACCACATCTCTGAGGCCTCAAGAAATTGTTTGGCCTGCCTACCGATTGTCCAGGATTCACAGCCATATGTTAAAACTGGATGTATGTAGCAATCAAGAATTCTTTTTCTAAATGACAAGGATATATTGCACAAGGTGTTTTTCATTTTATAAAATGCAGTTTTTGCGGGTCCGATTCTGTTTCTTATCTCAGCTATGCATCTTCCATCTGATGTTATCCATGTGCCCAGATACTTAGATTTCTGTACTTGAACTAAAATAACACCATCGACTTTTATTACACATTTAGAAATAATTCGTTTCTTTGATACCACCATTACTTCTGTCTTCCCATTATTCAAACTGAGGCCAATTCTTCCACTTACTAACACCACTATGTCTATCATTTCCTGTTGTTCTATCTAACGTTTTGCTATCAAGACTGTGTCATCAGCATAACGTAAATTTTTTATATTGAGCCGACCAACCACAATTCCGAGCATATCAATTAAAGATCTCATTATATATTCACATCATATTTAAAACAAATCAGGTGATAGTACACATCCTTGTCGAACACCCCTCCTTATGCTTTGAAAAATACCTAAACAGTTGTTAATTATTATAGCTGCTGTTTGCTGCCAATACATATTCTTTATTATTCGTAGATCTTTTCCATCAATGTTTAATTTTTCTAACAGTTTGATTACAATTATAAATATCATTTAAAAGTTTAGTTATTATTTCAGTTTCAAAATCTCCCAGTGCTTCGATTTCTTCCAGTGAGATGTTGTCTGGCCCGGGTGCTTTTCCTTTCTTCATATGATGTATTGCATCCTCAACTTCTGCTGTCATTATTGGCGGACCATCATCGTCTGCAGTTCTACATCTGGTCTATTATCATCATACAACTTCCCTATATACTCTGTCCATCTGCTAATTATATTACTATGTCCCATTAATAAGTCAGCAGCTTTTGATTTTAAACATCCAGTGTTTTGAGAGCATTTATTTTTATTTGTTCGTACCATTACATTTGATCACATCACCAGCCAAGTGCCGTTTGGTCTATATATGCGTCTAGTCCTACATGCCCAATAGGCGTGAAGGCATGGAAAAGGGTCCTTTACTTACTAGTGCATTTTCTGTCTTTACTTTGGTATTAAAAGAGGTAGCTGTCGATGTGGTGAGTGATGTTTTTTTTTTTTTTTTAAATATCCAGTAACCATGAATTCACCCTTTGGCTCTGTACTATGGATATCGCAATCTTCGGCCTTGATTCCATGATAAATACCGTAAATCTGGGAAAATTTGGCTTTTCTGCCTACTCCTGGGCGTGAACCCGGACCGCAAGGAGTTCGTCACCCGGACGTCGAGAAGTCAGGTTTAGCTAACTCCCTAGCGAGCCGGGCATGTGCTGTGTGTTGATTCAGCGAACATAATCATTTGTGATGTGATTTCTGTACGATATACCAGATATCTAGGTCTTATTTCCAATGCTTGTATTGTGAATGTATAACTTTGTTTAAACAAACCTGAAGATCCAGAACGCCCACCATCCATGGATACTGAAGCTCATTGCCAACTAACAGAACTAAAAATAAACAATCGGAGAGAGCTAAAGTTGCCAGATAGGATGCTGAGGTGTTGCACTTGCGCATACGTCGTAATGTCCATATTCGAGCAGAAATCTATGGAGAAGAAAATGGTTAGTAGAAATAACAAGATCATGGCTTGACGTGTACTGCCTGCAATAGAGAACTAATTTTAAGGACACAGTGAAAAACAAAAAACAAAAAAAAAAACAAAAAAAAAATGCGGGGGGGGGGGGGGGGAACTGCAAGTGGTGTGAAAATATTCAGCCGTAGTTTTGATCTCGTATCCGTACCCTTATACTGATGAAGGAATAAGCTAAATTAACAATTAATTCTTGTATCACATATAACAACAAACACTTTTCATGTACGTTAAATAATCAAAATGCTTATTAAACCCGAGAACTGTACTTACATCTGGCTAATACATTTGGGTAGTACCTGTGTAGTACCACCTGGTGGGGCGTTAAAAACAGTTTCTAAATTTTCTGTTGTCTCCACAATGAAGGTAAGGTGAAGAGTACACAAAGTTGTCTTTTGGAATATTAGTTTCTCCAGTATGTTCAATCTAGCCACCACGGGTACCCTAATGATAACTTCTGCTGAGTTTGAAGGTTACAGTACATAACATACATAGGCACTGGAATTCTAGATTTGCCCGGTTAGTTTGTTATTTAGAATGCGAAACTTCAAGTCTTCGATGTTGGCATCAAGACACAAGAGTTTTCAAGTCGCTGGGTAAAAGGGGGGGGGGGGGGGGGGGAAGCGGCGTTCAAACCTTGCGGTAGCAGCACAGAGTAGGAAAGCATTGACCTGTGTCAGTTATCAAATGAAATTAGGTGAAATGTTAATTTGTGTGCGCTATTTAACCAGTTTATATCCATCGTGGAATTTGTGGACAATGATATACTTAACAACTGCAGAGAAAACATCAGTATATTCTCAGCCAGACTGTGTGTGTTGCAGCGAACTATGATCGGTTTATACTCTGATGCGCCTCCTTGTAGACATTCTTGTACTGACTGATTGACTTTCTACCCCACCAGGACATCACACAAGCGATAAACACCCGATGACACAAATTGCCACCATGTGGATGAGGATCGCCGTGGAGAGGTCCCAGAAACCGCGTTCAGACAATTGGCCATAATTATGGCCTGCCTATATTGCGGCCCCTGGCAAAAGCCAGGGTGGGGCTTCAAATAACAAATAAAATTCGTCCTAAAAAAGACGAAATACGACAGTATTTATTTATTAACACCATTCTTGTACTGATTTTGCACTGTTCTTGTACTGCTCTTACAAGCTATTTACACGCGTGGAGGGAGAACGACAGCTCTACAAGCTCCGAGGAGATGGTACTTCTGGTAATCAGGTAAAGCTTAGGTTATATATATTTATATATTCGTGTGTGTGCGTGCGTATGTGTTTGCAATCTGTATAAAAATAATTAACGTTGAAAACTGGGAGACAATCAACAATTGCACGTATTTTGCATTCTTACCTTATCCCTTCTCCTACCTACACTAACACTCTCATACATGCAATCATTGATTCCCATGCCAGCAACGTTTTCACAGCCTTTATATATACATTGTTAACAAACAGATGGCTATCTCCCTATCAATGATAAACGGGCTTCTCATATTATAAGTGAAAGATACTTACAAGGTTTCCTAAGACCCCGATGACACACCAGAGAGGGGTGGCATATCGATCCACGGCCAGTGAGAAGGGGGCCAGTTGGGACAGCACGAAATATAATGACTTCCAATCGCGAACAATCACGAACTCACTGGAGTTTGTAGAATTGGAATACAGGAATGCTGTTGCCATTTTAGAACATGGAATGTTTCCGCTTGCAATAACTTCACAATGAACTGTCATTAACTACGAAGTGCAGTAGTGTCATATTACATATTTTCTTTATCATGCCAATATAAAGTAGGAAAGCACCGGGAAAAATACACGCAATTTATAATTAATACACGTGTATGTGTGCATCATCTATACTGCCTACACGAATGTTTAAAATGGCAAAACATATTGTTATATAAAGTTTCGTGATATATAACTCGATTCTTCTTCTTCACTGGGATTACAAGGCTGTGCTCTCTCTGTAGCCAAATAACAGAAGTCCCAGTATGACAGTTACATTCAACTAAACACTCTTTTTTCAAGATTGTAGATAGAAACACTAAGCACTATGCCAGTCTACTGCAGTGATTGGGTTGTATACACAGAAGTTAGGTTTATCAAATATTCCAATGGCCACAGCACACACCTGTAAATGATAAACCAACGAGTGTCCCCTGATTACATGTGTACTACATGCATTTGTTTTCTCAGATTTGATTACTCAAATTGGGGCATATGAGTTGATGTCCGACAGGAAGCAAAGCAGCTACCGATTAGGGATACAGCCCTGTCTGAGAAGTTCAAACCTCTCTTAACTGCGTCGATTCTAGCTGCATTCTTGCATGGGTCTCATCTATATGCAGAAATATTTGGTCATTGCCCCTTTGCAAATCCAGCTTGCAGACAACAAATTTGGCGTGAGATCGTAGATTTAAATTCCACTTGTTATGTTCGCATAAACGCGTAGGTCTGTTTTATAAGTTAACACGTTTCATCAACTGTTGAAGAAATAAACATGAAACTACTTAATTAGTTGTCTTTATAATAAATAATAAGTACTTGCTTCCTTTAACCTTAGTGATTCACGTATCGCATTCTGTAATCTCATTTACATGTCATATGCGCATATATTTACATACCAGCTTAGGGATCAACGGAAGTTCAGAAGGAAAAGGGGAGGCAAAGAAGAAGAAGAAGAAAAAGAAGAAGAAGAAGAAGAAGAAGAAGAAGAAGAAGAAGAAGAAGAAGAAGAAGAAGAAGAGAAGAAGAAGAAGAAGAAGGAGAAGAAGAAGAAGAAGAAGAAGAAGAAGAAGAAGAAGAAGAAGAAGAAGAAGAAGAAGAAGAAGAAGAAGAAAAGAAGAAGATAAAAAGGATAAATGAGGAGGAGAAGATGAGGATAATGATGATGATAATGATGATGATGATGATGAGGATGATGATAACGATGATTTTGAAAAGACGATTAAGAAAATACTTAGATTAGAGGAATTAGTGGGGAATGGGGGAATGAGAAGTTGAAGAAGAAGAAGGAGTAAAAGCGAAACGGAAAAAAGAAGCTCTGCAGTTTGTTGATCAAATCGGATATTTCGTTAATGAAATCTAGAAACCGATAAAATCACAGTTATATGAAGTCATTGTGGAAAATAAATTAGCGAGAGAAAACACGAAACTGCAGATATTTAGCTATATATTACACATATACAGGAAACTATATGTACCCATATATATATATATATATATATATATATATATATATATATATATATATATATATATATATATATATATAATCAGCCGATATTTTACTTCAGAATCAGTTATTTATAAAAAAAAAAAAGAAGCAGATGGGATCTCAAAAAGTTTTTACACGCCATAAATGAAAATAATAATAAAAAAAAAAAAAGAATAATTTTCGTTTCGAATTCCGGTGTTATAAAATCAACAAAACATCACGTATGAAAAGAAAGCTGGCCTTCATATTTCATGTTCATCACGTGCCATCGACCGTCTGCGATTCCTGGTTTACTTTCTCAGGCAACGTGAACGGTGAGTGAACAGTTAGCAGGGGACGTGTCCAGTCATCAAATACACATCTGGTAATCATTTGACGACGATTGGGAGGCAATAAGGCAAAAGTAGGCATTCGAACAAGAGTGACGGAGTGAGTGACTTAGACCTATGAGCTGACATATGACCGGGATAGGCATCGTCAGCGTCATGATGTACATAATGAACATAAGCACGTGCACATGAGAGCTTTTACCAATCAAGTAAAAAAAAAATTTTAAAGGGCCCTTTTCCACGGCTTTAGGCGTATAGGGCATATAGGGCTAGACCTATATTTGTATAGACCAATCGGCACAAGATAAGTGATGTGGTCAAAATCACGCCAGCCGCTTTTACTTCCCGAGACTGCACCCGCTACCCACTCAAGGCTGGGTCGACCAGCCAAGGTCATTTTTGAAAAAAGTCCGGCTTCGCCAGGGAGCAAACGCACGACGTTCTGATCCGCACGCGAGCGTCTAGCTACTACACCACGGCGACTGCTACATTATGTATGTTTTCAAATAAATTATTATATTTATGTGCCATTCTTTATTTATTTGTTATTATTAATAATAATAATGTTATTGCCCAAAATACAATTATTGACTTGGATTTTGTGGGATACCTATCTTTTACTTCCAAAGTCTAATCCTTGAGGCGTTGGTAGTTTTGTCTATCCACTACCTTCTGTCTCGTGTACTTTCAGTCAACTCTGACACAGATAATCCTCCATTCCATGATGTAAAATTGTCCAGCATCTTTTCTCCCGGTCTCCCTCTGCCTCTCCTCCCCTCTAGTTTTGCTACTGCATGTATACCAACACTAATGATTTAGTCAGATTCCCCACCCACCCCTCCCTCCCTCCCCAGCTACTGCATGTATACCAACACTAATTATTTAGTCAGATTCCCCACCCACCCCTCCCTCCCTTCCCAGCTACTGCATGTATACCAACACTAATGATTTAGTCAGATTCCCCACCCACCCCTCCCTCCCTCCCCAGCTACTGCATGTATACCAACACTAATGATTTAGTCAGATTCCCCACCCACCCCTCCCTCCCTCCCCAGCTACTGCATGTATACCAACACTAATGATTTAGTCAGATTCCCCACCCAACCCTCCCTCCCCGGCTACTGCATGTATGCCAACACTAATGATTTAGTCAGATTCCCCACCCACCCCTCCCTCCCTCCCCAGCTACTGCATGTATACCAACACTAATGATTTAGTCAGATTCCCCACCCACCCCCTCCCTCCCCTTCCCAGCTACTGCATGTATACCAACACTAATGATTTAGTCAGATTCCCCACCCAACCCTCCCTCCCCGGCTACTGCATGTATACCAACACTAATGATTTAGTCAGATTCCCCACCCAACCTCCCTCCCCGGCTACTGCATGTATACCAACACTAATGATTTAGTCAGATTTCCCACCCAACCCTCCCTCCCCGGCTACTGCATGTATACCAACACTAATGATTTAGTCAGATTTCCCACCCACCCCTCCCTCCCCAGCTACTGCTGCAAGCAATTTTTTTATTTCTGTAGGCGGTCATAATAACAAAGAACCTTCAGATAAAACACTAACTAATTCAACCAAGGATCTGTTAAACTTTATAAGATTATGAAAGCACACATGATTGCCTCACTGCATCACATTTTTTCTTTAGAGATCTGTCTTTCAAGGCAGGGCTGATGATCGTCTGCTAAAAGTGTGGAGTAACGTCCAAAACTGAACAGTTCCAGCAAACAACCGCTAATTATCCCCAAAACACCTGCGTTGGTGAACCGAACACTTTTGTCCGAATCGGAAATCACAAGTAAATTCAACTGGGCCTTAAAAAAAAAAAAAAAAGAACAGGGTTGAAAATAATAGATCTTTTAATTTTACAAAATCACTAAAAAGGTGAACAATTTGCTTGAAATAGGCGAAAGCTTTTACAGCTTCAGAGTTAACAGACATGTGAAAAGCTCTTTAGAGTTTTGTATAGGACCGGCTACGTGATGAAGATGATGATGAGGATGTTGATGATGTTGATGATGTTGATGATGGTCATGATGCTACACACTTAAAGGTAAAAAAAGGGCCCCTTTTCATGCCTTTATGAGTACTGGGTATTTAGTGCTAGACGTATATTTTATAGCCCAGTCCGCACTAGGTGAGTGATATGGTCAATATCACACTGTCCAGATTTACTTAAAAAGACTTCGGCAAGTATCCATTTAAGGCTGTTCGGCCAGGGAACCAAGGTCATGTTTTAATTAATACTTGGCCCGTTCGGATTTGATCGCAAGTGAGCGGCTAGCCCCTTTTCAAGGACGGCTCCCACAAACTCAACGTAGCGGTTGAAGATAGAAATAATGTTCCATACATCATCTATACATGTCTATAATGAGAATGAGGTTAACCTTTTTATTGAGAAATGACTAAACACGCCTACAGAATATCATTGTCCTGCTTTCTTCAGTTATTACGTTTTAAAGGTTTCAACAACAACAACAACAACAAAAATAACAACAACAACAACTTCATTTTGTTATTAGAGATCCTCTAGGCCAGTGGCTCTCAACCTTCTTAATGCCGAGGCCCTTAAATACGGGTCCCTGATGTCGTGGCGACCCACAAACAATGATCTTTCCTTCATAGCTTCAATGAAAATGTGTTTTCCGATGGTCTAATGCGACTTATGTGATAGGTCGTTCGACACCCACCCCCCCCCCTTCCCCCCCCAAAAAGTCGCGATTCGCAGCCTGAGAACCGATGCTCTATGAAACAACTGAAGGCAAACCGGGAAAATGCAAGACGAACGAAAGAAATCATGAAGAAAAAACAAGAGTTACGAGTAATTGAGTTAAGAGATAAGAACTGACATCACAGCAGTCGGGACATTCTCACAAGCGCTAGGTCCCCATCTTCGACAGCCAGAGCAGGGTCCCAGTTCCGATGGCACCAGTGCGATTGTATGTCCGTCTCGTCCCTCCCGGTACTGTCGATCCGTCGGCTAAATCCACTGGTGGAACTCGCTACACCATCCACTTCAGACGCTGCGTGGTCTCATGGCATGGTGTCTGCCTCGAGTGCTAGAAGTTCCGGGTTCAATCCCCGGTAACGGATCTTTTTCACGTGGACTTTGACTTCTAGTAATT